CCGAGGAAAGAGTTCAACTGAATGAAGAGAGGAAAAAAGAAAACGTAACTTCTCTTTTCACTCTTGCATCATTTCTACAACACCAAACTGTCAGCCAGTTGTTTGAACTTTAAATAATTTGGGTTCAGAGATTTCCAGATTACTGCACAAAGCAGTTCATGTTCAGGTCTTGAAATCTTCTACTACTTGTCACTTTTTTAACAACTATTCTAATATTCTAATTCTATTGTGTCCCAAGTTCAGGAATTGGAAAGACAAACACCAAAAAGTCCTTACCCTCAAGGGGCTTACATTCTACTGGGGAGATATGGATAAGTAAACACAAAATAAATACAATATAACTTTTGGCAGTTGGAGACCAGAGGACAGTAGTCCAGGCAAGGAATGATAAAGACATGGACTGGAGGAGTGGCCAAGTGTGTGGAGAGAGGAGGAGATGCATGCAAAATATGTTGTGAAAGTAGAAAGGACAACATTTGGTTAGGGTTGGCTATGTAGAGAGATCAACAGTGAGAAGTTGAGGATGACACCAAGGTTGCTGGCCTGGGTGGTGCCTTTGGCAGTGAGAATGAAGTTAGGAAGAGGGAAGGCTAGTTTTTTGGGTTGGGGTGGGGGAGACAATAAGTTTTATTTTGGACACAAAGTTTAAGATACCTGTGGGATGGACGTTCACTCTGAGGTAGTTGGAAGTGTGTGATTATAACTCAGAAGAGAGACTAGGGCTGCATCTATAGAAGATCTATAGATCTATCTCTGGGAATCATCTGCACTGAGATCACAATGGAACCCATGGGTGCTGGTGGGGTCACCAAGTGAGAGAGTATAGAATGAAAAGAAAAGATCCAAGGTTGGAGTCTCTAGGGACACACAGAGTTAGAGAGGATGACCTTGATGAAGAATTAATTAGCAAAGGAGACTGGGAAGGAATAGTCAAACAGAAAGGAGAATCAGGGGAGAGCAGTGTCCCGAGAACCCTCCATTCTCTCAGCTACTGGCACAATTTCACAAGACAAGTGACCTGAACCAACTCAGAGCTCTGTGTGTATGTTTCAGTTTCCTTTAGCACCAAAAACACACTCAAGATGGAGATGATGCCTCCTAATGGAAGAGTGGGATGGAGTGGGAATCATGCTACACAGATGTGAAGTTCGAGGACCTGGATTTGAATCCTGCCTCTCTGACAAGTCTCTTAATTTCTCTGGGCTTCAGTTTCCTCCACTTTGGACTAGATGGCCTCTACAGACCCTTCCAGATCTATATCTAGGTGGCAGGGTAGACAGAGAGCTAGACTTGTTATCAGTAAGGACTGAGTTCAAATCCTATCTTGGACACTTACTAGCTGTGTGACCCTCTGCAAATAGTTTAACCCCTCTCGCTGTTTCCTTGGCTATAAAATGGGGATAATAATAACCCCTACTTCACAGAGTTGTTATAAAGACCAATTGAGATCATATATGTAAGTCACTTTGAAAACCTTCAAGAGATATGTGTTAACCACTATTGATATTTTGCTGCTGTTGTCTAGTTCTTTCAGTCATGTCTAACTCTTTGTGACCCTATTTGGGGTTTTCTTGGCAGAGAGACTGAAGAGATATTTGCCATTTCCTTCTCCAGCTCATTTTACAAGTGAGGAAACTGAAGCAAACAGGGTTAAGTGACGTGAGGGGAGTCATATAGCTAAGAAGTATCTGAGGCTGGATTTGAACTCAGTTCTTCCTAACTTCACGCCCCATGCTCTAACCGCTGTACAACCTAGCTGCTAGGTAAAGCCGTCTCTGTTTTACAAATCAAAAATTCAGATCAAGTTGCCCAAAGCAAGAGCACAGAACTGTCTCATCCAGTTCATTCTCCTCTCCAGGCAACTGCCAGCATTAAGTACCTATTACTCTGATCCTTGAGTTCCTCTCCTTTAAAGAAATCCTAGAGAACACATTTTTGTGCCTTCAGTCTTCCTCTTCTTCCTCCCCCACTCCCCCACCCTGTCTCCTTTCTCCACTCCCATCCAACTGCCCCTAAAAGAAACCAATATCAAGCTCGAATAAAGATTACACAGTACATAGGTAGTAAATAGTGTTTTCTCCACCAAATGTTCAAAAGGCACTAAAATACAATTTATTGTTTCATTTAATCACAAAGACCTGAGATAGAGGCCTTATCTGAAAGTTTTGTTGCTATTTGCCTAAATAGATTCCCTCCCTCTGTTTCCAGCTTCTCATTTCTCTCTATCTCCCCTGAGAACTGTTCTGCCTCCAACGGTCTCAGTGGCTTAGTGGGAGTGTTTTTATATACATGAAAAGATTCATCTATATTCATCCATTTCTCTAGACACTGAGAAGAGACTTGTTTAAAAAAAACTTTTTCCCCATTTCCATTCTAATATGTGATTTAAATAAAGTTATCTGTCTTATATCCTGAATGATTTCTGAGGATGGTTAGGAAAAGCATAGCCTGGGCTTGGAAATAATGAGGAAGTATTAGCCTTGTTTTGCGAGGTAAAAGAATTCAAGTTAAAGAATTTAGAAATGATTAGAAAAATTTCAAGTAAGGCATAGATTAAGGAGTTTGAAAAATAACTGTCCAACTTACCTATGGGAGAGCTGAGGTATAGATAGATAGGAAGCCTGGTACCTAGGGAGAATTTATCTGGGAATGGCTGAGGTGGGAACTTCTCCTTCGCTCCCCTCAGAGTCTGACCTGTGATCTTGCAAGGGGTAGAAGAAAGTAGGTATGCCCAAAGAAATGGTCTGACTAAATATAAAGAAAGTCATGGAGGGAGAAGGGATGGTCTGTCTTCTTTTCCTCTAGTCTCTAATCACACTGGCAGGGCCTTACCTTCTCCTCTCCTACACCAGGGCATAGGCAGGTAGAGAACCTCCAACTTCAAGGCATGGGGTTGGCCATCTCCAGACCTCAGCGGGGAGCAAATACCCTCACCCAGATGCTGGTCCTGGGAAACAAAGCCCTGACTACCCCACTCTAGTTATGACTCTGCTGGTTACTAACCACCAGTCACTTACTTGAGAATTCCAACCTGGTTTAAATTATCACCTTCAATGAGAAGAACTTCAATAGTCCTCCCTATAAATATAAACTACTTCATGTAAAATGATACTGTAAATAGACTGAATCAATCAAATAAATCAGCCAATAAGCATTTATTTAGTGCCTATCATGGGCTAAGCATTAGGTGACACTGAAGGGTAAGGCACAGCCTCTACTCATAAGGAACTCACAGTCTAAACAGAGACGCAAAACCAAGCCACACGGAAGCATTAGTGAAGAACACTGGCGCAGCACGTGACAATCAGATAAAAACGTTATATTTCATTTCACATTAATGTAGTAATAAATAATTAGATACTAAAATACAAACACAGATTGGGATAATAAAACACAAAAGAAGTTAGAAAAAGAATTGATTGGTAGACATTTGGGTCACCGTCTTCATAGAGGCAATAGGACCTGAGATAAGCCACGGAGGCAGAAAACGGATAAAATAGATACAGCCACATGAATTAGAAAAATGCTTAATGTGGAGAAATTACATTATAGGTCTGTTCAAAAATGAACGTGTTATAATCTGGAGAAAAGAGTAAACTAGAAAAAGGGCAACTTGTGTCAGAGGCTCACCTGTATGAGGTCAACCAGGAAATGGGTGTTTTATGTTTAATGGCAATAGCTAAGCCATGAGTGAAAATTAGAAAAGACACAAGCTAGGGCTTAAAAGGAAAGAAAAGCAGAGCAAGAAAGGCTTTTCCTGGAGGGGAAAAAGAAACCTATTGATTAGGAAAAAAGACAGGAGAAAACATAGAGCACTGATGATGGTGACTCTAATTTGTTTGTTTCTGCCTTTGGAGGGAAAATAAATGCATTTTTTAATTTTTTTTTTTTATTTAGAGGTAGAAGAATACGATCTTTTGACTTTCCTAGGATAATCATAAAAATCCTTGTTGCCCACTCTCAAGTCAAACTCATAAAGTTAACTCAGTCATCCACTGCAAAAAGAAACTATATGATACAGTAAATGAAATCAGATCTAAACTTTGGGGTTTCATCCAGTAGTTGAGAGCATAAGAGTCAGAAGGAAAGTGAAAATCATTGCTTGAATTAAAGCAAATGGAAGCCACCTCAAAGGGGCTTTTGAAACCAATGACAAAGCAAGTCCTGGAGAAGCTGGAAATATCATAGGATAATCATAGATTGAAAATTTAACAGGAAGCTCAAAAACCATCTAATCAACTCCCTAATTTTGCAGATGAGGAAACGAAAGTTCAGTGAGGTTAAGTGATTTGCTGGGGTCACAAGGTAGTAATTAGAAGAACTAGGACTTAAATCCAAGTCCCCTAAGTAGAGAGCCAGGGGTATTTCCATCATAGATGTAAGGAGAGTTATTTTTATTCAAGCCTGGTTGTAAATCAGTGTTTGAACCTGTAGAAAAAAATTTAAGAATTAGTAAACCACCTAGCTGTGCCTATAAGTTTATTCTTCTTTCAGTCTTGCTTTAGTCTGAGTATCCTACTTAAAAGTAGGTTTAAATACTTGATAGTAGTTTCTATTTTTAGTACATAGAGAGCCCACCTCAGAACCAGTAAGACCTAGCTTTAAATCTTACATGTGACACCTAATGCTTGGATGACCCTCCCTATATCACTTAATCTCTCAGTGTTCTAGGCAGCTCTCTAAGACTCTAAATTGTGGGATTGGGTTGTAGGATTTTCTTCCCCTAAGGAGCTCCATACATTATAGGTTAACCCTCTTTCTATTTTAAATTGTTTTCATATCAATATTTTTTGTAGAAAAGGTGTTAGTAGAAAAATGTGCCATATTCTCTGTCTCGGTTAATCACATCAATGAGATGTCAGTTGTTCAGACCACCCCACCAGGCCACTTATTGATAAGGCACCTGGTCCTAAAGTCAGCCTAAATACTTAAGGAAGAAACAGTCTTTAAGGTGGTAGCTTTGCATGCTCAAACTTTGAAAGTGATGGCAAATATCATGCTTATCGATGCAATATTTTTAATGATTAGTCATTTTCATTTCTCTTCTTGGGTCTTCTAAAAGATGTCAGTCTGAAATCTTCTTTCCTGCATGATAGAAGCTTCGATCAGTAAAATGGAAAAGATGATTTTCGTATTAGAGGTTTACTTGGTATAAATATGTATGTTCAGTTCAAAGCCACCTACTTCTATCAAGAGAAGATCACATAAATCATTACGACACAGCCCACAATCCAGCCAATCAGGAGAAGAATAGGGACGACCAAGTTTGAAGCCGTAGATTCTATTTAACAAACAAACAAAAAGCAGAAGATAGATATGGATTCAGATAGCATTAGATGAAGTCATTCATTTTGGTCTTAACATGGAATCAAGAAAAACAAACATGAATTCTCACATGAAGAAAAACTAGAAGTAGGTGTCAGATAGCATTCAATATATAATGCTATTTATGAAATTGGTTCCATGTAATGCATCTCACAAGGCATGGGGTATATATGTGTAGGTATATATGCATGCATCTATTATCCCATGCACCTTATAAAGTAGTGAGTAGAGTGCTTGGTCTGGGGACAGGAAGATGCACTTTTTTTTTTAGCTAGGCAATGGGGTTAAGTGACTTGCCCAGGGTCACACAGCTCATTAAGTGTCAAGTGTCTGAGGTCAGATTTGAACTCAGCTCCTCCTGACTCCAAGGCCGGTGCTCTATTCACTGCGCCACCTAGCTGCCCCAAGACGTACTTTCAAATCCTCACTCTCACCAGCTGGGCAGGTGAGTTCATTTCTCTGAGACTCTGTTTTCTGATCTGTTTGCACCTACAAGGTACATATGAGAAAATGTAGTCAAAGTGATTTACAAATTTTAACAGTCCATGTAAATGTCAGTTATCTGTTCATCAACAAGTATTTATTAAACACCTACTGTATGCCAGGCACTGTACTGGGCACTGGGGATACAAAGATAGAAAGGAAACAGTCCTTGTCCTCAAAGAGCTTACAGTGTAATGGAAGAGACAAGCACATACAAAATTGAAAGAAACAATACATGTAAAGAAAGTCAAGATAATTAGGGAGGAAAATAGAGGTGGAAGAATCAGGAAACATTTCACGAAAGGGTGGTGCTAGAGCTGCTTCTTGAAGGAAAAGGACTCTGAGAGGGGAAGGGGGAAAGGAGGAGGAGAAGGAAGAAGGGAGGTGAAAGCATCTTCCAGACATGGAGGATAGTTAACATACAGGTTCAGATGTAGGAGTGTTATGTGAAAGGAAAAGAGAGGTCAGGTTGGCTAAACTGAAGGGTAGTAACACAGAGTGAGGCTAGGGAGATAAGATGGGACTGGTGTATAAACAGCCTTGAAAGATAAACAGATGAGTTTTTCTTCTATCCTCGAATCCTCCTCAGGAAGCCACTGAAGGTGGTTCAGGAGGGCAGTCATATGATCAATCCTCATTTGAGGAAAACCACTTTAACAGCAATATAGACTATGGACTGGACAAAACACATTCTTAAATGCACAAAGCAGCACCAGTAGCAGTATCTTGTATAAAATACATGAAAGAGTAAAGAAATAATTATTGATAACCCCCCAAAAAAATACAAGCATTGCATGCCATCAAGAAATAGTGTTCTGCTCAATAGCTCACCCTAACTCAAACCTGTTAAATGAAACTTATGGCACAACATGGCTCCTCCTCAAGGACAGAAACCGGAGTCCTCGGGTTTGCTGGGTTTAGCACTGGCCCACCAATGGGCACAATAAATAGTACTTTATAACAGCACACACTGGTGCACTTGAGGTCTATGTCAGACTCCAACCTGGGGAGTATGTTGGGGTCCTTAGGAAGGCTATTGATTAGATGGAGAGCATCCATAGGAGGGCAGGCAGAATAGTTCAGGGCCTCCAGTTCATCAGCTGATCAGCCCGGAAATTTTTAGACCAGAGAAGAAAAGACTTGGCAGAGGGGAATGATAACTCTATTCGAGGGATCGAAGGCTTGCCTTGTCGAAGAGGGCTGGCCCTAAAGGACAGAACAATGGGTGGGAATTGCAAAGAGGCAAACATAAGTTTCATAAAAGGAAAAACTCTTGAAAAATTAGAATATACAAAAGTGGAACAGGATGCCTGTGCCAGGAGGTCCAGAGGCTCAAGGGGCTGGGCTGACCTCATTAGGTATGTTACAATAGGGATTCCTCTCAAGTATTAAACAAGATGGTGCTGAGGACTCTTCTAATGCTCAACTCATGTGATCCTCTAGGCATAAATTTAAAACTGGGAGGGACCACCTTTATTTTTCATAGGATTGAACTAAGACCAGACAGGTTGGACCACTTACTTAAGGCCACACTTTGACAGAGCCAAGATTCAAACCCAGAAACTCCAGTTCCCAACTTAGCAAATGCTCCACTGCATTGTAGCACTGGCAGCTCCTCATTGAGGCACACAAAGCAGAGGCCAGAGATGACTGTGTGGCAAATACATTGTGACAGAGATGGTTTTAGTTTATGGGGTGGACTGTCTTGTTGGCCTTGGTATCCTCGACACCTAGCGTAGAGCCTGGCCCATGGCTGCCACTTAATCAATGCTTTTTTATTAATTGATTGATTGATTGATTAGACTCGATGGCCACAAGAATGTCTTCCAACTGTGATATTATGTGAGATACTGACAGCTAGGCAGGTGGAGCTAATTCTTCTGGTTCCTCCTATTTTCTCCCTTCTATTAAAAGCTAGTTCTTGTCTGTAAGGTTTTCCCTTTATATATCTTCTACCCCAGTACCTAAACCCCTACACACAACACAACACAATATAGTCATGCAAAAGCACACAGGAATGGCCCCTGGAGAAATTTAATATTGTTAATACTCTGGTCCTAAAGACCTGGATCTGTCATTAATTAAGAAGTACAATTCGATTTCATGCCATTAGCCAACAAAGAAAGGATGGATATTTTTAGCATTCAAAATCCTGAGATAATTTGCAGCACTTATACTATATGCATTTTTGAAAATTCCATTAATGTAAAAGCACTGGTGGAGAAAGTCATTTTTTGAATGTGAAGACATCATTTTCAAAGGAAAATTTCCTAAATGGAACAGAATATTTTTTGAGTCTTATTTTTTTTAAAAAAATTGGATTCTTTCCCAACAATCTTGACAATTTCATACAGATCCCATTGTCTCTCATGGGAAGGAAACCACCCCCTTTCCATTTCTATCTCACAGTGTGACCTTGGATAAGGCATTTATTTAACCTGTCTGGAGAAGATAATACTTTTTCCTTATCTGTCACATATTTCTGTATGTTGAACAATAATTACATCTATAAGTATATACACATTTATATGTATTTTATATGTCATTTGAGGTGAAAGAAGACTTTAAAATTAGGAAGTCATGACAGTTCAAAAATGTCTTTTAAAATGATTTATCAAATGATGTTCCATGTAAAGTATTTTCCAAAGCTCTCAGTTCTTAGGATCATCAACTGAGAGCTGGTATGTATGTTAGAGATCATGAGGTAAAGGCTGCCCTTCTCTGCCCTCCTTTTTGCACAATGAGGAAACCGAGGCCCCCAAAGTTTAGGTATCATATTGTCCAACATAACTTAAATTCTGGTAACTAGATACGCAAGGAGATTGTATAAGAACATATGAAAAATAAAGTATTTTCAGCTTTCACTTGGGACTTGTGTACAAGTGCGTAAGCAATACATCTGTCTAATAGTCTTTCATAAAAATCAATCCAAACCCATGTATATGTGGATGTTCTTCAGGCCCCTTACCGTGAGCCTTAGCCCGTCTGTGGGAGGAATGTTTGGATCACAGTGTGGCCACTCTGGCTGAAAATAAATGTGTATTCACACTGCAGGTTATGCCTTTGGTACCTGACTTCATTCCCCAACTGAGAAAAATGGCCATTTATACTTTCAGACACAAAAAGCCATTCTAAGATGCATTTATTTATTGAAGTTGTCAGGGAGGTAACAGAGGCAATTCCTGCAATGGGCAGGAGGCTGAACTAGAGGACCCCTAAGAATTCTTTTAATAATGAAATTTGATGACTTGAGGAACTCTGATCATAGCACAGGGACTTCATTTATTTACTTGTTTATTTATTTTGCTGGGCCCATGCCTTCACTGGTGTAAGGAGCTCCCGGTGAAGACATTTCCTATGCCAATGCAAAGCAGAACCTTCTCTGCAGCTGATACCTTAGAGCATTCCCTGGGGCCCTAAGGGGATAAATAAAACCTGCCTCTAAGATCAGCTCTCCATTCAATATTGTAAGAGTGCCGTTAAGTGAAGTGATCCCATATATTTAATTCACATTAAGATCATAGGATTGAGAACAGCAAAGAACTCTGAAGATCGAGTGCAGAGGCTCTTCACCTGGGGTCCCCTGTCTGCTTGATGGATCGATTTCTGAGGGTCTGTGAATTTAGATGGGAAAAATACATATTTATTTTCACTAACCTTTAGATGAATATAAGCAGCAAAATACAGTTCTGAGAAAGCTTCATTCACCTGGCAAAGGGTTGCATGATAGGAAAAATATTAACCCTAAATCTAGTCCAGTCCTTGAAGTCAGAGAGCCCAGATTCAAATCCCAAGTCTGTGTGACCTTGAGTAAGTCACTTAGCATCTGTGGGCCTCAGTTTCCCCACCTGTAAAAATGAGAGGGTGGGAGTAGATAGTCTTTAAGGACCCTTCTAGCTCCAGAGCAATGAATTGTGATGGGAGGAGAGAGGGCATGACTTCCTACAAGCTCATACAGGTTATGTCACAGAGTCAGGATTTGAATCTGGGCTCTTTGAATCTAAATCCATCCTTTTTTCCACAAGTACCACTCGTCCCCATGAGTGAGCCAAATAACCTCGTTCAGCATTTGACTGATTGCATTAATGGAAAAAAAAACATTTTTTCATCTTTTTGAAAATGATTTGTATAGTTGGATTGGGTGACATCCACAGCTTTTCCAGACAGACCGACATGTATTACTAAGGTTTCTCTGACAATGATATTCCATTCCCCAAATATATCTATGAAGCAGCAAGCATTATAAAATATGACCCAGTTAGCAGGATGATCTCCTTTCTTACTGCCAAGAAGTCCTTACAGACTACACAATTCTCCTAATAAGAGACCTTTAAATCTTACCTTTTTCAGCCATTCTGCTTGGTGCCAAACGGGTTTGTATGGGACAAGGTCTGGCTGCTTGGCTATTGTCACCCAGACCTGCCTTGAGTTTTAAATAGAGGGGCATCTGGAATGTGTGGCAGCCGCCTCCTT